ACTTTATAGGATGTTCATTCTACTCACTGAGGCTTATGCCTAAAGTTGGACTTGTGTTCATGGAAATATATGTATCAGCTGTGCTTGCTATGAAAATATTTAGATTAAGTAAGATCTTTAGTGATTCAATAAAATGTGTGTGTGGGGGAGTATAGAAAGCAAATGTAGATACCAGAGACAGTGTGGGAGGAGAGTGGGAGATGGCAGAGGGTAAGAGATAGGGAATCAAGGATGAGAAAAAAATGCAAAACATACAGGAAACAAGAAATGGAAAATTATTTGTTGCCGATAATATGTATGTTGATCTGCTTGATTGAGGCAATATACAGGGTACTCTGGATGGAAAATCTCATTTGGTATGCTGTAATGACATACAGTGAATGAACGCAAATAAATAAATTTAAATAAAAAAATAGCTTTTGACTATGCAGATTCCTCAAAGATCTACAAATAGAATTACCATATTATCCAGCAGTTCCACTCCTTGGTATCTACCCAAAGGACAGAACAACACTTAGTTGGAAAAGTGCTTGCACATATAATTTTACTGCAGCATTATTCACAATTGCTAAGACATAGAAGCAGCCCAAATGTCCATGAACAGAAGAATGGATTGAAAAAGTGTGACAAATATATTCTATGGAATACTACTCAGCCATAAAAAGAAAAAAAAAACCTGGCTTTTGACAGAAAGTGGATGACTATGGAAGATTTACTGCTGAGTGAAGCAAGCCAGGCTATGAATAAAATAGTATGTTTCCACATTATATATACCGACTGTCTGCACCCTTTGGCAAAAACGGAAAGACTAGAGGATATGAAAACATAGAAAATGTTTGTAGATACTGGATACAGTGTGAGAAGAGGGTGAGAGGAGGAGATTCTGAGGAAAGACATTAAGGAGAAAAATATGGAGGCAAGACATTTATAGGACAAAGAAATGGGTTATTATTTGTTGATGGTAATGTGTATAGTATCCCTGACTGGACTAGTGAGAAATGCATTCTGCTGGAACATTCACTTTACAAACTAAGTGATGTATGTGATTGAATGTACAAAAGAAATTAAAATGAAATAAAAAAAATATATATAAAAAGAAACCATGTGGGAGGAGTATGGACAATGAGGGGTGATGGGAGGGAAAGAATCAAGGGGAGAGAACAAAACATTTGGTGGACTCAAAAATAAAAAAAAATCTTTTTATGATAATGTACATGGTAATATATTTGATTGGACTAATGTGCAGTATATTCATGTCTGGAAAGTCTATTTTGTATTCTATAAAGATGCACAATAGTTATATGTAAGAAAAGAAATAAAATTTTAAAGAAGGAAAAAAAACCAAGCCTTTATCTTCTTGCTTAAGTTGTAAATATAAATGAAATTTGAGTCAACTTCATTCAGATCATTTCTGATACACACGCATGTCAGACATAAATAAGACTTGACTCCAGCCAGTCATAAGCAGTCAACTAACAAAATTATGTGACTAGGGACTTTCCAACAAGGTATCTAAAAATAAGCAATTTTTTAATTTGCAAACTAATCAGATTCTTTCTTTTTGTCTCCATATTTCCCCCCAATACTTGCCTCTAACGTTCTCTCAGAACACTTTTGGTTGAATGGATGTTCCATAATTCATGAACTGCTTCATACTTAAACACTTTAAAGATTTTTCATTGTGACTCAGCTCTTTTAACACAGAAAAAGTTACCAATAATTGGGGTATAAAATGGAAAAATAAAACCAGGTATCATTCATAATGGTTAGAAATTCTCCTGCAAATATCTAAGTTTAATACAAATATTATTTACCGAAGAATAGATGTGTGAAGCACTACATAAGGAACCAAAAAGAGCTTTAAGGATACAAAATGAGTAAAATGCCCTGATTTGAGGGAGTTTATAGTATGAATGGGATGAAGCAAATACATACTTGATGAGAAGGTACAGTGTGATTAACAGATTTTATGGATATTTGAAGAGAGATAATTGGTTTGGGGGTAATTCAAGAATAGCTGCAAAGGGGAAAAAAGTTTAAGGGCTTTAACAGTGTGCATATAACAGGTAAAGACTAACAAAATTTCAGGAAGAGAGAAACTCTTTTTACAAAACTTTGTGCTGCTTGAGTCCCAGATCTGGCAGCTTAAACTCACGCCAGGTACATGGGTGTGTATGCCCAAGATCCTGAGAGGAGAATAGAGAAGGGACTGAGGCATGGCCATCCCTGGGGGAGGGGGGGAAGGGGGGTTTCTCACTTTCTGTCTCTCTCAATCTTTCCAGCGAGCATACACGCCCTACAGTAAAAACCTCTTTTAAAAAAAGTGTATCTATTACACACTCGATAATATAGAAATTTTGAGTTTATAGTTGTACGTGATTTCATTCTATATGAACACTTTGATATTGTTACTTAGATTTTTAACATTCTTTATGCCATATTTAGAAAAATAAAGCACCATTGACTCTATTGGGTATGAATGAGGCACCTCAAAAATCTGCAAGCTGACCCAGTTTGGTGGAGCAGTGATGGGTGCAATGCCCTGCAATACTGGAGGCCATTTGGGGTTTGGTTCCCAGGTCAATCTGTATACAATGAGTGTATACATGGGCCAACTGTGGATGGCTGGTAAGGCTGGGGAGATGATCACAGAATGAGACCATGTTGAGAGTGCTTGCCTTTTTCTTTAAAGAAAAGAAACTTTAAAAATCCATGGGACAGCCCTGTAGCTTCATGGTTAAGGGAGCTGGATCCCACATGGCCAACTAGTTTAAATCCAGGTCCCGGTAGCTTGAAAAACGTGCTGGGTACACACTCATGTGTGCATGTGTGCCCAAAACCCTCAACAGGATGAGAAACGGAGAAAGGACTGAGGTATGACCATACCCCACTAGTGAGTGCTGTCTCCTTCTCTGGCAAGTGCACACACCCTCTGGCAATTAAAACAAGAAATCTGCGTTGCCAGGGAAGCTAGGGAAAGTACTGAATTCCTGTCATAGAAAAACACTCATGACAAACTTCTATATAAACTTAACATTGGCCTTAATATTTTGTGTACTTCATAGGAAATACAGGAACTGCATTTTTAATCTAAATTTCAAGACAGATTGAGAACCCTTAACCCAAAATACTTCAAAATCTGAAACTTTGAGCACTGACATGACATTACAAATGGAAAACTCCATACCTGACCCTCATAGTCAAAATACACTATAAAATATGACCTTCAGATCATATATGGTAGTATATGAATTATTCAATTTCATGTTTGCACTTGGGTCCCATCCCTAAGACAGCTCATTATGTACCTATGTGCAATACTCCAAAACCCCCCTAAAAAATCTGAATCCAAATACTTTCGGTACTAAGCAGTTTGGATAAGGGATACTGAAACTGTGCCATTTAAAGTCCAGTTCAGGAGAAATTTGAATGTCTCAAACCAAAATTAAGTGCCCCTAACTCTCCCTAGATATTCTATAGATGTTAGTTCTACTATTTAGTCATTATTTAATTCCCTTGAAAGTAGTCTACCCCTCAGTTTTGCATACAATATTATAAGCAAGTTCCAGGTGTTTAATCACCTTTGCAAACCTACCAAGACTTTGCTTCTAACAGTCCTTCAAGAAACATTTCTTGAAAGATGTGACTTCATTTTAAAAACAATGGTCAAGTGTTCTATGTTTAAAATATATCTCCCTTCCTGTCCTTTAATTGAGATTTATTAAAAGATTATTGGTCCAGCCACTGTGGAGAACGATATGGAGTTTCCTCAAAGACTTTCAAATAGAACTACCATATGATCCAGCAATTCCACTCCTGGGTATCTACCCAAAGGGCGGGAGAGCACTCAGTCAGAAAAACGCTTGTACAACTATTTTCATTGTAGCATTATTCATGATTGTTAAGACACAGAACCAACCCAAATATCCACAAACATGAACGGATTGAAAAATTGTGGCATATATACTCCATGGAATACTATTCAGCCATAAAAAAAAACCACACACAACAATTCCCTGGAATTTGATAGAAAGTGGATGAATATGGAAGATTTGTTGCCGAGTGAAGCAAGTCAGGCTATCAGAGACATGGTATGTCTCCACTTAACATATACTGACTGTCTGCACTCTATGATAGAGACTGAAAGACTGGAGAACATAAAAGTATTAAAAATTGTAATGGACGGGGCAAAGGTGGAAGAGTGGGGGAGGGGAAAAACAAAGTTGGGGGGGGGAATATAGAGGTAAGAAACCCATGGGACACAGATAAGGTTTATTATCTGTTGACGAGGATGTGTAATAGTCTCAACTAGGCTGGACTGAGGTGTATATCATGCTGAGTAAAGTCTCTTCAACCTAAATAATATATAGCGATTTAATGTATGAATAATAAAAAAAAATTTAAAAATTAAAAAAAAAAAACGATGAGTGAAGAGGCCCAGTTATGATGGTCAAATGCAGTGCTCCACAGGCTGGGACCACATTAGGCCAGGGTTTGATTCCTAGCCCAACCTAAAAGTCTAGGAGCAGTGGTGTATGCCTGTAATCCTAGCCAGGAAGCTGAGGCATGAGAACCAGTGAAACGCTATTAAAAAAAAAAAAAGTTAGGTGACAATATGATATACTCCACAAACCTCTACCTAAAATTATTAGTTTTTTTGCCATAGGATGCATATGCTCACCAGAGACAGAGAGGAAACTTAAAAAAGCACCCCCCCTCTCTCGGAAGATGGTCATGCCGCAATTCCTTTTCCTCCATTCTCCTCATGGGATTTTGGACACGTGCACATACATGCACCCAGTGTGATTCTCAAGTCACTGGCTCTGGGACTCAAAATGTGGTCAGCCATGTAGGAGTTCCAGTGCCTTATCCACCATACCACCTACTGGCCCTATTTCCCTTTATTAAAAATGACACTGCTCCACAAAATTGGAATATTTTCTCAGTTGCATATCAATAAGACAAAAGCACTGTTTTAACAAAATTCAAAGTTTAATTTTTTCAAAACATAACTATACTAATGAAAATAAATTATATTTAGACCACCTTCACATTTGTACATCATCTTTATATAACTGTAACAGTGCTTTCAAAAGACATTTTGTAAAGGACATTCACAATTACAACGTGTTTAAAAAATAGGGGAACATTAAAGAACATTAAATTAGTCTGAAATATATCTCATAATGCTGAGAGGTATACTGTTCTTTATCAAATTAACAGTATTTGTATGCAAAATAACATGGCTTTTAACTAATGACAATTATTTCTTGTCCATATCAGTGATTTCTTGAATCCAAAACAAAATCTGAGTATTTATTTCTTTGAAAACGTCATTTGTTGACCGTCCTTTAACTGCCATGGAATGATTTGCCTTCTCAATCCAGTGGATTTTAGTGGCAGCTTGCATTTTCTGTGTCGCTTTCTCCAACAAGGTCTAAAGGAAAAAAGAAGATGATACTAGACTAAAGCTGGTACTGGTATTTAATAATAGGCTCTCTTCCTCGCCTATAGTAGCATCTACTCACCAAACATTCAGAAAATACCTACTCTAGAGACAACTTTCTAGGCAAGGGGATGTGCAAGGAAATGTCCACAACAGTGACGATCCATTTCTCTGGTACAGAAATACCACAGAACTGATCAAGAATTCATTATTGACAATAAAATGTTAAGAAAACTGAAGCCTCCCCCAAATTAAAAAAAAAATTTTTTTCCCAAGGAAATTACATGCTCTAGGAAATGCAGAGTTGTTTCATTAATATTTGGCTAATATTTTGTAATAGGTAGATGCTGCCGTCCCTTTCTCAAGTGCCAATTTTATAATAATCTGCTTGAATGACAAAATGACAAGCCAAATAAATGTATAGTCTAGAAGTTTCCAAGCTGCCATCCCTTTCTCAAGTGCCAATTTTACAGTAATCTGCTTGAATGACAAAATGACAAACCAAATAAATGTATAGTCTAGAAGTTTCCAAATCAGAAGATTCAAATATTAATCCTTCATTTCTTAAATAAGGGTTAATTCATTCACCAATTCCCTCCAGAGAGATGCATTTTGTCAGCATGCTTATATCTTGGAGTACTCCAAAGTAACAGAGTAACTAAGGCATAAAACTAGCTATTAGGCTTTTTAAAATAAACTGAATGTTGCAGATAATATTTTGCTCCCAAGGAATTTCTTTCATTTTCTCTCATTCACTCAGAAAAACAGCATTATAATTCACCTTTTCACACATTTCATCTGCTGAGCCTGACACAAACAGTACAGGATCTTTTATACGAAAGAGATCTTCATCTCTGAGTTTATGCTGCTGTTTTGGATGGTGCAGTGGATAAGAAATACAAATGAGACCTCGAACAAAATCATCAGCATCATCTGGCTCAATATGACACATTACAGAAGCAGCTGCTCTTGAGCCCATTGAACGACCTAAAATCAATTAAAATTAAGTTCAGTCTGAAATATAGACAGTCACATAAAGTAGCAGTGATAGTGTGGCAAGTTAGATTTTATTTTGTGTTCATCTATCATATTTGTTTATCAACAAATTACTTAACTCCAAAAGGTGGTAATAAGTAAGATGCAATACCTATAACAAATACCTATAGTTTTCTGAAGAGATAAACACTGATCAATCTTAAGTCAAATTTTTTAAAAAGCAATTATTCTTCTGCATAACACTAAAAAGAGTGACGAACAATTCTTATGAAGGACTCACCACTTGAAAGAGGGTGATTCAGGGATCTAAGTAAAAGGAGAGATTACAAGGGGTCTACAAAACTTTATGAAAAATGTGTAGTATGAGAAACTTATGCACAGATTTCAAAAACTTTCTGCACCAAAATAAACTTGTACTAGAATTTTATTTTTCCATGAACTTTTGAACTCCCTTCAAACATGTACGTAAAGTCTAAATTTACTTTCAATATATATAGTAGTTAAACATCAAGGAGGTGAAATACCAAAACAAAAAAAATCACCTTTAAACTAACTTCCTGTTATTAATTTCTATTCTTAATTACCAATTCATATATTAAAATGGGTAGTTAACAAGTATTCACAAGTATTGCAACTTACCACCAAGGAAAACACCTGCAAGTTTATATTCTCCTGAGGTCTTTAGGTAATTCTAGGAAAATCAACCAAAAAAATTATAAATTCTCCTTTAAAATATTTTATTGGAAAGCCAAGATATATTACTTCTTACAATTACTGAAATATAGAAACATCTATGCAAAAACAATCACAAAAACTAAAATCATTCTTGGAAAAGGTAAGCAGTTCTTTCCTCCTCTGAGTATGCCTTCACTATTAAATCACATGTTGGATAACACAGGTAAATACTTGGAGGGAAAAAACAAATTATCTTTGTAAAAATTATTTAAACACTAAACTATTTTAAGAACAAATTATGAAAAAAGGCTAGTAAAGATTTCTACCTACTACCAAATTTAAGAACACTAACATCTCATTTAAAGCTGTGAAAAACATGATGAGAAATTTCAGATTTGAGTTTAATCCAGAGATTTTAAGCAACGTTTTAAAGAAACATATACAGGAAACAGTGCCATTTGTACTTGTATAGCATGGTATGGGAAATACGCTAGAATAACAGAATTATATTCTAAAGTTATATAATTCCAGTAAGACAATCCTAAGTAGCTTTCTTGGCAGTATAATGAAGGAATATTTACGATGTGAGCATTCATCTCCATAGAAACTAATAACAAAAAAAGAGAACGACAAACCACTAAAAAGCCTTGATGTACTAAGTTTATAAGGACACTTATTAAAAGATTTTTTAATCAAACCAAATTACTACTAACAAAATTTGTTTTAAATGTATTAAGAATTTTAAACACATCTGTTAATATAAAGAAATTTTCTTACCAAAACTGACTTATATGCCTTAATTCTGTGTACAATATTAAGGCCTTTACAGGTAAATCTCAGGCAAAAAAAACCATGGGATGCAAGATGGGATGCCAGTGACATCAAATGAGGAAGATTCATATCTCCTGATGCTCCATGTGTAAGAATTATTCCATATGTTAAGCTCTTGTTAGGTACCAAACAAACAGCATCTAGTAACTTATTTCCAAAAGGTATTTTTAGTTTAGCCTGAAATTCAAGAAAATAAACGGATCAAAAATTATCTCCTTTTCAGACAACGTAATAACTATACATGTTTGCTTGGCAAGACATGATTCAAGTCATAGCCTCCAAATAAAAAGTAATGATGTTTACAATAGCTAATAGTTAAAATGCATACTGTGTATCAGGTACTATAAGTGTTTTATATGTATTAACTCATTAATTTTCCTAATAATTCTGAGGCAAGTATTATTAACCCATTGTATAGTTAAGACACAGCAGGTTAAATAACTTGTCCAAGGTTATGTAGACAGTATTTACGCTGGCGGTCTGCTCTAAAGCTTTTACTGTTAAATGCTAATACTACAGTCCCTCTAACAGTGAAACTTTAAAATAATAAAACTTCTTTGAAGCCATATGATTACAAAAAAATTAAAAAGGAACCCTGAAGATGTAGAACATATGAAAATATGTATTACCTCTGTATGACTCATTTTCACTGCTGAACAACAAACTTAAAAGTGCATTACATCTGAGAAGCAAAGGACATCTCCCTGAAAAGAAGATTCTGTTGTGAAAGGTGAGTTGGCAGACATGGATATGACACAAAAACTATGAATGAACATAATCAGTATCTGAAATAAAGCATATTTAAAACTACTTCTCTAAAAGTTAGTGTTTTTACTTAAATATTGTTATCTTCAAGGTCTCTATGAGCATTCAGAATTGATTATAGGTGTGGGGCTGGTGGCTGCTATATAAAATAGTTGTGATAGCTTGATATCAAATCTTAATTTACATCGAACGAGGATGTTGTATCTTGGCCTGCGCGCATGCACACACACACACACACACACACACACACACACACACACATTTTTGTAAGCATTTTCATTCTCAATCAACTACTCTCTACTTAAAATTTCTCAGCGCCTTCCTATTAATCCATTTCTTTCATTATCCTCCCCCCAAATCTTTCTCCTCCTCTGTAACAGAAGTATACATGCACCCGGTCATGTGACTTTGTAGTATTTCCCAGTAGGCCAAGTACACGTCTTCACTAACCTTGGGTTTGGCTATTTGATTTAATCTATCCAATAGGATAGTAGGCAGAAGGTTCTATGTGCCACTTCTAAGCTGAGACATGGCAAATTTCCAGAAGCCCTCTTAAACTTTTATCCTCAGCCATGAGAATTGCATGCTCTGGATAGTTTTGTACTTCCAGCGTAGGTCCCAAAATGAAGATACATGGAAATCTAAACCCCAAACTAAACTTTGGAGTCCAGCCAAGATCTAAGCCATAGCTGACTTGTAGACCTTAAGTATGAATGTTGTTAAACCACTGAAATTTTGAGGTTGTTACAGAGAATTCCTTCCTATGATGGAGGTGGGGGATGGTGTAGGGTGCAAAAAGTGCATGTAAAATGTGTATCCTTTAAAAAAAAAAAACAAAAAAAAAAGCATGGTTTTTCTGGGACCGTAGATGGCATAATGGTTACTATGCTGGACTTCCACATAGTTGACCACAATTGGAGTTCTGGACCTGGTGGCTTGAGACTCACGGTAGGTGCGTGCACAGGCATGCCAGAATCCCAAGAGGAGACTGGAAGAGAAGGGATTGGGGATTTCTCGCTGTCTGTCTCTTAGCAAATGCACATGCCCTATAGCAAAAATCTGTCTTAAAACAAAAACAAAAACAAAAAAAAGGCATGGTTTTCAACTTTTGTACCAAAAATAATTCACACATTCATTCCATTTTCCAAGACTTTTGAAGCCTCCTTACAAAAAATAAATCTTTTATTGTTCATGGTATCATTAAAATCAGGCTATCCACTGCTGATACATTTTTTTTCAAAATAACATTTATTCATTAATGTTAAATGTTTTAGGTGGCAATAACATGGTTCTAAGTTCAAAAGCTACCAAGAATAGTCTGTTTTGCCACCCAGATCCCTTTCTCAAAGGCAACCAAATAATGCCTGTTTCTTGTGTATCTTCCTAGATAGTACTGTACTTATATTATTTTCATGTGTATGTATATCCATAAAAACCTCTGAGAGGGACCAGCAGTTAGCGTAATGGCTATGTCGCTGGACTCCCATGAAGTCGACTGTGGTTCGCGTTCTGGACCCGGTGGTTGAAAACTCATGCCGGGCGCGTGTGCGTGTGTGCCCAAGATTCCAAGAGGAGAAGGGATTGCGGCATGGCCATCCTCCTGGGGGTGATTTCTCGCTTTTTGTCTGTCTCTCTCTGTCTGGCGAGCGTACGTGCCCTATAGCAAAGACCTCTCCCAAAAAAAAAACCCAAAAAACAAAAAACTTTTGAGAGAAGACTGCTGTGACAAAGGGTCTGGTCATAATTTTTAAAAATATATTTAATTTTTGCATAAGTAATATATGCACATGGTACAAAATTAAAAAAAAATTAAAATAGTGGTTTCTTCATACTCTGTCTCCCACTCACCAATATCCTTTTCCTTCCTAGAAGCAACTACTATGACCGGCTTGTGTATCTTCTGACATCTGTGCATGTGTGCGTGTCAAATTCTTATTTGAGAATGGAGGGTATTAGTTTGGCTGTAAAAATTCTGGGAGTTGAGAAAGAGAAGGGCGATAAAGAACTTATGTCCATTTTTAAATGCAGCCATATAATTAACAAAGCCTTCAGCCTTCCAGTTCAATAATTCTGTTTTACTTTCTGAAGACAACATGCTTCCATACAGTCTTAACAGGAAGATGATCACCCAACAGTGTGAAGTGAGGACAAGATCTAGATAGCTAATTGCTTCTCAGATTCCACAACTGTCATTTTAAGATTCCCACATCTATCACTAATACAACCACCTACATTCTCAGTACTGAAGGTGTCCAGGGATGCCAGTTTCTGTGCATTTTGAACATTCTATGGTTTATACAAAATTGTTCCACAGAATTAACTGTTAGTTTAACGTTAAGGTCTCCTAAGACATTTGTTTTCAAGGCCCACTAATTGACTGCTAGTGCTTTCTTTCCTATTTTCTCCATCCTTGTGGGTTTGCCTTTAAAAACAAAAATAAACCCTGTACTTAATTTTAGTGAGATTTCAGGAAGGAGTAAAATTAGATGTATGTATTAAGTTCCTTTTTTTTTTTTTTTTTAAATGTTGGACTGTGTGTCTGTATGAGACAGAGACAGCATCTCTGCTCAAGAACATCCCGGAGCACCTCCTAATCAGACCTAGTCGCTGCAGTCCATTTTCCTTCAAAGCTCCATTCCCTCAGAATTTTGGGTCCACGAATTGCCTTTTCACTTTTCTCCCGCCCCCCACCCCCC